ACACACACACACACACACACACACACACACACACACACACACACACACACACACACACACACACACACATACACACACACACACACACACACACATACTTTTTTGTGATGGGTGGATGGTTTGTTATGACTTGTGGAGGAAATGAGAGAGAGAATTTGGGGTGCTTTAACAACACACACACAGGCATTCTGAGCTCCACGTGGGCCCCTGCAGGGCCCGACCAGATAGGCTACAGGCCCTGTGTCATTTCAGTGTAGGTAGGGGCCCTTCAGGCCCTGTGTTGTTTCGGCCCAGGTAGGCCCCGTAGGTCGGTAGGCCCAGTAGGTAGGCCCTGACGCCCGTTTTGGCGCCAGACCCCGGTAGAGACCCAACAGGCGCCCAGGCCATTTCAGGCCTTTTCAAATTCGAACATTTGAATTTGGGCGCCAATTTAGGCACCAGAATTTTGGGCGCCAGACACTGGTGCTGTCTGGCATTGGTGAGAGCAGCCTCCCAGCCAGACCAGAGCTATATATAGCTGGTCCGCCTAGGACGTATACATTTATTCTTCAGGCACTTCGCGGCGGCAGTCTTCAGGAGTAGTAGTTGTAGTTGACGATAGTAGTAGGGCTTCAGTGCTAGCATAGCACAGCTGTAGGACTTCAGCGCCAGGCGTAGTGCCGCTGCAGTACATCGCAGCAGAGTGGCATATGCCAGGTTGGTCTGCGTGACTTCTTGCCAGATTCCCCCCCTTGTGCGCAACAGAGCCCAGATCAGCTGCCGAAGTTGCAGTGCAATAATTTGCAATCGCAGATCCAGCAATCCTCGGCCACCAAAGCATCTTGGCTGGATTAGTTTATTCCATGCAACTCTGCAAATGGACTCCTCGGTCTTCGTATTGTTGGACCGCAGGTGCGCATGGACTGCCTTTTTGATGTAGCGAAACGTGCGTCTGCCCGGCATGTGCATTGCACCTGCATACCAAAGTGTGGCCAACACCGAGCTCTTGATGACTATAGCCTTGCCGAAAACGCCCATGCCAGCTCTTGCGCTCCATGTCTTCAACGAGTCCAACGCCGCTGTGGCTCGTGTTGCCATCTGCTCAATGCCCCCGTAGCTCCGCGTGAGGTTGGCCCCTAAAAGCTAGTAAAAAGGCCATTCTTTCTCCTGCTACCATAGTGGGGATATTCCATCCCCCTGGAGGGTTCACTTGGACTGGGAGAATGGCCTTCCATCTTTGCCAATTGACACGTGTGCCCGAGTACTTACAGAAGAGTGTCAGGTCTTCTTTATGACGGCAGAAATCTGTGACACACTTCAGTATGCCACGTGTGGTGCGCTGCCGATCAGTATGCCCGTCAAAGGGGTGGTCCATGGCTGTCATTGTTGTCGCTACCTTGCGTGCAGCCACCGTGGCAAAAGAATGATGTGACATTCGTTCCCCCACTAATATCCATGTCTCCTTTGTACGTCTGCCCCATTTAAATGCTTCCACTCCTGCCACTCCCTCCATACTCTTCCGTTTGGTACTCTGTGGGGCCTCGGTTCAAATCGTCCAACCTGCGAGCGAACTCCTCCCCCGTTCTCTGATGCGCCAGGTAACTGCAGCGCAGCTGCTGCTGCAAATCTCCTCTTAGCCTCTGGAGCGCTGTCATAACATGTTCCAGCAGATTCTCCTGCGGGCAGTCTTCCAGCCACTTTTCCTAGAAGCTGGTCACCACTGGCCGGTACTCTTTGCTTTTGAAGACCAATGTCGGGATTCCCTTCGGCGGGTGGCCGATCTCTATCTTGCCCACTGGGTAGGCCGCTGATCCGACGCCGCCATCGGGCTGATCTGCACTTGCTCAATTACGTCGTTGAGGCCCGCCGATGACCATATCATATCGATGCGGCCACGCCGGATTGCCATAGTTCCCCAGAAGGTGAAGGCCCTCTCTTGCGGGTATAGTGTTCTATTGAATCTGTGCAGCCCAGCCCTATCATTCCATTGACCAGCGCCATCGAGTCCGCCTCCATTTGTCGTTCGCTTGCAGAACTGAGCTTCGGATCATTTATTGAATTGAAATCGCCCACAATTATTATATTGTTCACGTCCGGGACCAAGTCTGCAGTCACTCCCACATCCGTCCCCATGCTCCGAGCCCTGAGCCCTGTTGGCCCATATACTGTGGCCAGCCGCTATATTACCTCCCCCCATTGCAATAGCACCCATGCCCACCGGCCCCTGGAGTCATAATATCAATCTGTCACCCCCCCCTAAAGTGGGGGGAGACCAAGATGCATACCCCACGCTTCGTTCTCTGTGCCGGAGCCCATACCTGGTGACCCTCCCGCCATAGCACGGGCTCCGCTGTTCTGGCCTTGTTTAACTCCATCTCCAGCGGACATACTACATGTATTTGCTCTGCCCTGACCTTTTTCACCAGTTCCCTCCTTTTCAGCAGGCTTGGTTTGGCTTCCATTCCTCTCACATTCCACCACGTGAGCAACTTCAGCCGATTGCAGTTCCTTCCGATTCCCATGGTACTCTCGTTCCTCAATGCTACCTAGATTTCTATCGTTCCTATCGTCCCCTATCACTTCCCTTTCCACCCTCCTCACCCCCCTATCTATGGTTCCTTCGTCCTCATCTTCCGGTCTGAACTCGTTTACCTCCTACTGTTTTTATTGCTGGGGAGGTGTCGCCGCCTTGCAACACCTTTACAGGATAAGATACCTGTTAGCCCCCCCCCYCCCCCCCCCCTATCCTGTCTCAAACTACTACCCAGTTACTCCCCCCGCTCCCATATCCCCACCCCCTTCTGGAATTGCCAGTCCCCCACATGCTCCTCCGGCAGCAGCCGCGCATTAACGCTGTTAAGAATGGCCAGGGAAGTGACATGGACCACATGATAGGCCTGGACCAGGGACGTAGGGCCAAAGGCATCAGCAAACCGCATCCACCGCATGTCACTCACCTCCAGCCTAGCAATGCCCGGCTTTTGGGGGATGGCTTCCATGAAGCACGTACTCCTTGCCATCCGCTGTCTGTCTAACAAATCGTGATGCCGAGATCTGGGGCAGCGATGCTTCGTACCTCGGGCCCACCCATTTGAGGACCTGCCTCAGCACCTGTTGCTCCTGCGGCTGCTTTGTCACCCCGATGACTGGCACTTCCGACCGTAAGGAGCTTGATCTCATCCAACGCTCACCAGAAGGTAATGGGGCAAACATAACACTCCTCCGCCTGCATGATATCCTTTAAACGGGGCCCCACTCATTCCTGAAATACCATCTTGGCTATCTGATCTAGCGGGTCTTGCTGCTGCTGGCTCTCTTGCTGCCGTTGGCTGCCTTCCTCTGAGACAGGCCGCATAGAGGCCGAAGCCGTTCCTTCCAAGGTCGCCGATATCTGATGCTGTCCCTCCCCACGTGTCATTCCCTGCTCTTGTTCCGTGTGATATGGTGGTCCGGCTGCTCAGGCTCCAAGCTGCTATCCGATGTCTCTGTGTCAGAGGGGTCCGACGAGTCCCCTTGGCTGCTTAGGTGCGGTTCCAGTTCCTTAGCCGGGAGGCCAAAGCGTGCATCCTTTGGGGGGAGGGAGGCTGATGGCGATGGCAATGGTTACACATCCCCTTTACTCCTCAGCCAGTACCGGGGTCCTAACCCCTTGCCTCCAATGGAGTTCGTTCCCTTTCCTGGCCACTTTGCAAGCGGCCCCACCCACTTTCCGATTGCATCCGCCGATCTGGCTC